TGAATGCAACTCGAATGAGAAACGACGAGTTGGGAGTCCGAGGATAACATGGTGGAGATCATGCGATGAGGATATGAAAGCCAGATGATGAAGAGTGCCAAGAACAGCGAATTATAATGAAATAGCAAAATATAAAAATTCGAATGAAGTTTTAAGTTAATCAGTGTACCAATAACAGTCTAAACTTGTAGGCAATCTTTGTACATTAAGCGCAACACCCTACACACTATGTGACCTCAAGTAATTGTATTTGACGACTCTTGTTTACTTTGGCGCTGTCGAGCCACTACATAAGAAATACAGTAGTTAGGCAGGCATACAGTATTAAGAAAAACAGAAATTAAAGTTGCTCAAAAAATAAAGTTACTTAAAAAAACATAACCACTGCCGAAGTTGTTGGGACGTGTGTAACAAATGACCACTCTCCGTTTACAGTGATATAACTGAGCAGAATAAGGATTCGGTTTGAAGGAAACTGTGGTCATACAAAGGTATGCTATCATTTAGCGAAGTTATTAACTGTTGGTCTGGTTAAATAGAACAGTTTAAGTTGAGCTGATGAAGTAATACAGCTAAAAACCAACTTCATGTAAGCAGGCATTCCACAAATTTTGATTATATTACTTTCATTACTTCTCCATCATGGCATGTGTAGATATGAGGTAGGGAAACTTACACTATTATTCACTAATGCCACAGTGAATACTCATTCATGTCTGTCTACTCCCAAATCTTCTACCTCTTGAGCAGATTCGAATTCAAGTGAAAGCGGTTTGATTCAAAGTTGGAGGTGAAATCAACATTTAAACAAATGTTTTTTGTTTTGTTTTCATTCACATGACAAATCACATGTGATAAAATACTCACTCACACACACACACGAGATACGATTTCGAACCTAACTTAAACATTGTCAACAAGGTGGTCTTATTACACACACACACAACATATCCATTGTGAAAGCACCATCGTCATCACCATCACCAATGAAGCATGCACAATTGTTCTCATTTTATCCGTTCATAATAATGTCACAATTATATCATATGTGTGCAGACATTGTTTCAAAAGATCAAACACACTGTAACACTCCAGTGTTGAAGAGAATAGAGGAAAAATACATATTGATCGTCTTCAAAAAGAGGAATGCATATCCTCCTCACAATTTCATCAAACAGTGTTTAAAATCGAGTCACGAAACCAACAAGAAAGCATTATCAAAGACCACGAGAAAATTCATTCCATCATATTTAATAAATTTCTCGGAAATAACAAACAGATTATTAAGACCACTTGAAACAGATATAGTACACAAGCCAACCAGCACAATCACTTCAATCGATATTGTGCAAACCACAAGATCCAATAGAAAAAGAAGATAAAATTAATAACATTTACAAACATTAGATCGGTCAAAGTGGGCATCCCTTCGAATCAGAATCCCAGAACATAAACTGGCTGTAAAAAAAACATGATATATATTCCTGTTTAATATTAATGCATGTAGGTAATTATGGACACCAGTTTGATTGGGATAATGTAGAAATTTTAAATTGATGGGGCATCATAAATGCAGTCAGGGAATTCCTAGAAGCCTGACACTCAAGTGAATCACCCAATGATTAACAAACACATTACTACTATAGACGAAATTTACCAGCTAATAAAAATTAAATCACATAACAAGAAATTTCTAATTCCAAGTCAATTAAAATATGATCAATACAGATGTAAATTGACTACCAGTCACGAAGATGGTTACCAGGAGACATACTTCTATCATTCATGGAGAATTTAAATCAGTTCATTTTGTGCTAAAACTTAAGCTGAAGATGTTGACAAGAAGGACAACGAAAGCTTCACAATTAAACCAACCAGGTCAGAGAACACAACTAATTCCAAAGGAGGGGAAATCATTACTACCGTTTGGGTACATCAGAACGATAGCTACTATGTTGATTAATGGCCGGGCTTACTTATCATAATAACTTAAACACCTAACTGGCTGAAACTGATATTCCTTCAGGTTCTACCATGTCAATAAGGTCGTTTGGATAGCGATTAGACTACAAGCAGTTACCATCATAATGTAAGCCGTTTACACTATGCTGGAGATCTGAGGAGAACAGGGATGTAACAGTATTAGTAACATGTTTCCCACAAATGACCAGGCAGCCAGTTATGCTGCCTCTCTGTTTTGGAAGGGTGAATAGAAAAGGTCGATAGCGAAAACTGTACATTCCTAATATATATAGTACAAACTGTTAAACACTAAAAGAACATTCTCTATGAATAACATGACTATGCAAAATGTGAACTCAACAGAGCTAAATTTAAAAAAGCTGTTTAACTACACTTAACTGTATCATAGCAGATAAGTCAACCGATATAACAAGCTAATCTGCATACTACGTTTTTTCCCTCAGACTATATAAGACACGCCGAAGAGACCATAAGAAACAGGAGTGCAGCGTCATATATTTCTTAGTTCCACGTTATCCTTTATAGATAAATTGTTGTCTGTTAAATATTCTATATTTTAACTACACTGTGTTCACATATTTTGTACATAAATGACAATTTGTTAGAAGAAACAAGTACTTATTTTGTATTCTAATATCAGTTTACTGGAACTATGACCGAGTAATCCAGTTTTCCGTGAACAGTAATCACTAGGTCTATCTCCTGACCAGTGGCAATGAACGCAACAACTGTTTATTTTCCCTTGATTTTCAATGATTTTCTAAATGATCTAAATTTCTGATATAATTATTCTCAACACTGACCTCCTGATCTCTAGAGGGGGCACTGGTGAGCACTGATGAAGAACTCTAAACCAGGATGAAAGAGATGTCTAGAACATTCTGGTTTCCAGCGGTTCTGTAATTCATGGCAGCTGGTGATCTAATCGAATCCTTGCAGACTGACAGTTGAAAACTAGTCTATTGACAATTACATCTCAGTAATACCATGTGTATTAAAATGTTTTAAAACACGATGACGTTGATTGTCAACTTTCATAGAATACTCTTCCATTCACATGTGTAAGTGAGGAATTAGAAGCTTAAGTCAACCAAAATAGCTCTTTAGAAAACTGATTCTTGTGTTCTCTACGGCAAGTTTGACAGAAAACTTAAGAAGCGCGTCAAGTTCTTTCGCTGTCACAGGTTCTTGTCCTACTTCAAATCACCGAAAATACACATTGAGCCAACCAAAATACCTTAAGATCTTGATCAAATAGAAAAAATTAAGGTCTTATGAAAAGAAAAAGTAGCAAAACAATTATTATCAGTTGTAGTATGGACATAACTTGACTTTGATCGACATTTAACGCCTTACAATAAGAAAAAAAGGAGTTTTTCTATATTATTATTATTTCTATTGTTCTTTTGGGTTCCTAGTGGAACACAGGGTTTCAGAAACACAACGCCACTTTGCTCTGTTTGCTGCCATCCTTTTAGCTGGGTCCGTGATTGCCCAAACTCTCTCATCTCCTCCTCACACGATCTCCTACATGTCACCCTTGCATCGACGACCCACTCTTCACTTCCCATTGGGATTCCACTCGGCATCATGGAACGCGATGTCATTCGACGGCCTCCTCGATGTATGCCCTAACCATCTCCACTTTCTCTTACATATTTGTTGAGCAATCGGCTCTTGGTTGGTTAGGTCCCGACCGGAGTTTCTTTTTACTAATTCTTTCGGGCCATTTGATCTTCAGTATGGCGTCAGCGAAGGGGCAGTTGTTGATGGAAGTCTGCAGTGTCCTGTTGGAAATCCTTTTCGTCACAAGCCAAGTATTTCTATGCACAGACATTTATCCCATTATCAACGATATTCAAGAATAGCTAAGCGTCTCCAAATAGTGATTATATGCCTTCTGAGAGGCCCAGACAGACAATTTATACCTATACCGTATGAGACTCAAATAAACCCTGAGTAACTTCATTCGACTGAGTTTTTTAAAAGCATTCTCTAACAAAATAAAATACTTCTAGTATATGTGATCAGAAGGAAGAATATAAAATAACCAGAAAGACAACTGCTCTATAATTTCTTTAGTCATCGAATTAATAAATTCTTACTGACCACCAATCAACCATAATCCATATGACTTACTAATTTGTCACATATGTAGTACTTTACACAGAAGTCAACAATCCCTATTTCAACTTGCCACAATTTACAAAACCATACATAAAAGTTCTGTAAAAACAAGAATAAAATATTCTCGAAGGTTATACTGTCCTTACAGACAACATTTTGAATGCTTAATTCAGTGTAAAGTGCTGAAATGAACGACACTCCAATACAAATTAATGGCAATGATATTAAAACCCTGAAAACAGTCAACAACACTAGAGGTCAATAGGAGAGACAGTTGTATCATTCATATGAAGAATTCACTTCACACTGCAGTAAGCGCTGAAGGTGTTGCCAAGGGAACGAGAATAAAGGCTACTCATTTGAACCATGCGGCTAGGAGGACACTATCAGATGAAAAATATTCACCTGAGCATCACAAATCCTCACTATTATTTCAGCATATAAAATAGACTGGCCTACTCAAATTGTTCAAATACACTATACTAATACCTAATTGGGTTCCAGTGGTAGAATGTTCTACGAGCTCCCTTTTTAATCGGAAGGTTCTGGGTTAGAACACTGATGGGTGTGTACTGATGAGGATTTCTAAACTAGGAAGAAACAACTGTCTAGTACTCCTTGGTTAGTGTACAACGATAGACCACTGATAGAATTCTCGCTAAACACGACTCACATGGTTCGGATTTCGATTACCAGCCAATGCATTCTTAAACCTAACTTAGCCAGGAGTAAACCAAGTAAAAAGGGAAGGTTAGCACGTAAGGCTAGCAACCCCGTCCCACAAAAAACGACAACACCATTGCTACTGAAACTCCAGTGTTCAAGCTAGATGCAGAGGAATCATGAAAAATAAAGTAATTAATAAAGAACAATAACTGTGATTTGCTTACGTAAGAACACGTTGGCATTGATGGCACTTGAAACATGATTTATGATAAACTCGACCAATCGTTTGTAATGCTTCTAACGGATAAACAATTTCTCTACAAGTATGACATCTTGGCTGTTCAATTGATTCCCTTGATGGGATCTATGATAATGAAAGAATGAAAGAAGAGGAACAATCATCAGTAACAAATAATCATAATAAAGCATAACCAGAAGGATTGAACACATGCAAGCGAATGATATGCAGACAGTTAGGAATGGATGAATGAACAAATGAATGAACAAACAAATTGCAAACTTTAAAATCACAATGTCAATTCATAATTTACTGTAGAACATAATCTTTGCAAGGATCACATTCATACATACATATATGTACTCAAGATGCACAATAGTAGTATTAGTAGTAGCTTGTAGATATGATGAAAAGGAAGGCAGATCTGTATTCTCTTGTTGTGTTATTGTTATGACAATAAAAGGAAGTATATTAGGGGTGAGTAGTTAGTTACCTGTTGTTCTCTTCTGTTTAAAAGAAATAAGCCTGACAGTAAACACGACGAAAATTGAATAGAGATGAAAATGATAACATCGCCAAATAGTTCCTTTTTTTATAAAGTAGGTTAAGAAGGACTGTAACTCAAAAATGTAGTTATCCTTGTTGTTGTTGTTGTTGTTTAAATCGCCCAGTTTTCTTCAGATAACTTAAGTAGAAAGATGTTTACACAACATAAGGAGTGTTAAGAATGAACCATATGGGTATTATTATATCAGTTGATATATACATGGGGAAACAGGCTGTGGACGTTTACCAACAGCTGCCTCCACTGGATATACAACATCAGATGGCCGACCAGAAAGAATTAGCAACACAAAAACTCTGACAACGAACCAATCAAAAATCTATTGTTCATATTAGATGGTTAGAGGCAATCAGCAGGAGAAGTTTTGGACGTAGGTTTCTAGCTAGTCGGCACTCATCAGCAAGGCGTATCTGCAACCCGAAGGAAGTTGACTGATAGAATTCAGTCTTCACCAAAGATAGGACTAGACACATTACACTAGTTACTGATAAGTGTCCAATCAAAAATCTATTGTTCAACAAATATGAAGAAGAAAATCGAAATAGATTGGACACACGCTGAGAAAGTCATCGAATGACATCACACGCCAGGTAGGCCATCACTCGAGCGGAAACGTAGTAGGAAACTATGAATTGGGCGTGGGTTCGACGGTCACATGAAGGAAATCGTGTGAAGAGGGAATGAAAGTCTATGGGCGGTCTTAAAGAGAGAACAGGATACATTTAAGATGTATTGTTGAGGCCTTATATTCCATTCAAAACCCAAGGGAATAATAATAAAACAATACTATGCACGCGGATAACTCTAAACGGCAGTTTGTTTTTCATAAATTATCATTAAGGAGTGACATCCTGGAGATTGCTTTAGAGGTTCTTTCCGCACTACACAATTTATCCTTTATTTCAGTCTCTTTTACTTTTCATCTAATATTCTTGAGTAGGTCAATGGTGGATTGATCACCAACCATGTGGGAGATCCAAATTCGATTCCCGGATGACGCACCCTAAAACCTAGCCCGACTAACCATGAGCCCTCAAAGCCAGCGAACTAACCTCCCCCGTAAATGTAATACCACAGCAACTGGGATTTCAAAGCTTGACTTGAAATGTGAAGAGATGAAAGCAGTCTCATGGGTTGAATTCATCCCAAAATACTGATAAGCCATTTTTAGTGATACTGTGGCTTGATGATTTTCTTTTCAGTGAATTTGTGATAACTGGTTTCTTTGAATCAGAACTTCTGTCTGTAGTTAAGTATAGCTGAGTAATGGCTTCATCTAGATTTTAGCACCTAATTGACTTCGACTTCTTTTCCTTCTCGGTGCGGTGAGAAGATTCATAAATATGGAGATATTTTCTTTAGATCAATATTTTGGGGAATTCCCTTGTGTCATTTGTCTTCGGGCAGGAAATCTAATCACAGTGAAGTTTGTATTTATGCTCAGTCACTATGATGGACACGAATACTAAAGACGTGTCACTTAAATAAATGCAAATGGATAATCAGTATTCAATTCACCAATAACAGATATCGTTTAGAAATACACTGAACTACTAGAGAATACTGGAGACCTGTTCCATCTTGTCATTGGGACTCTCCATTAGTAAGCATACATGATCCCACCAGGGATGATGTCAAGAGGTGATCATATTGCCATTCTACCTTGCAACATGAAGATCCTGAGTTCGATACCCGATAGGATCATACCTGCATACTTCTGAAGGGACCAAATCTAAGACGATATAGCTGTCCAGGACTGCCTACTTTTAATAGTTTTCCAATCCGAAGACAGTTCATTATGAAATCTAACTTGAATAATGAGTAATAGCAGTTTAGCGTAGACGAAATTATGCATAAGACAATAGGAACAGGTGATTGGACAATGATTCCATAACTGTCTTATCCATTGGTATACGTGGAACATGGAGTTCCAACTTTTTGTTTAATTGCATCCTCGATAGAATTCATTCAAAATATATTCTGTAGTATTAATTTCTATGAATTAGTACTTTTGGTATAGACAAACAGACAAATAAACTTACAAAGCCCCATTGACGATTCGTTTATCAGGTAAGTTGATTTTACCGATAAAATTAACAAGCAAGTAATAACTCAAGAAAGAATAACAAACATAATTCAGTGTGTTTCAATCTTTGAAGAAGATTTTGCACTCACGAGGACTTAAACATCTCACAGCATAAGGGAGAAAAATAAAAGACATGATAACAAAACAACTTATGAGAAGAGTTAAAATAGTAATAGTTGAAAAGACTAGTACAGAAAGGCTGCTTGCTTCATGCTTAATATGAAGAGAGGCAGACAAGTTACTCTCATAAAATACTCATTGTCATAACAGTGTTTCTTCGTCTATTTGCAGTAAGCAAAAGGCCATACCAAACTGTTCATGCAAGATATTATGAAAGATATACACACAAACACACAGAAAAAGGTTGTTATCACTTATCGAATGAACTATGATTTCAAAGGCACACAAGTTAGTTAATTAAAAACAGTCATACGAGAGTTAGGCAAGCACTTGTTCGATACTCAATATGTATGCATTCACTTATATATGTACAGTACCTTTTAGGAAAACTTGAATATGAGAAACAGGAAGTTGACTGAAACAAGAGCATACATATATGTTATAAACGCCTAAAAACAGTGAATCCGTCGGACAAGTATATATATATGTATACATATCATAGTTACCAGTGAAACATTTATAATTCGGAGGATGAACATTACACTGGTTTAAGACAGACGACATCCGATATGTTATCCCAGGCTGTACAAAAATGTCGGGATTCTTTCTTTGTTGTTAATTTATCCATTTTTGTGTTCTCTGAGCTGAATAGTTGAAATCTACAACCCTCTTGCAATCTATGTATGACATTTTATGAACAACCTACCGTTATTCCAGATACAATCAGCTGTTCAAAGACTTGCCATATCAATAAAAACATTTTCAATAAGCTGCTAAAGACTTATATCAATAGCTGTCTTCCATCTATACTGAAGACCATATGGTCAACTGGAAAGGGAATGCGGAGCAACAAGAAACTATGTTTAGCAACAAACCAACTTTTTCCTTGATAAACACGCTGAAAGAAGTGAAGACAGATTAGAGATTGTTGAGCGACATCACGTATAAGATCCTAGAGTGGAAACCGAGTGGGAAATGACGTGTAGAATGTGTTCCAAGGTGACATGGAGGAGATAGTGTGGGGAGGAAATGAAAGCTTATGCAAGATTGTGGAGCGAGTTAGAAAATCACCTGCAAGGAACAGAGTGATATGGGGGTGTGCTAGTGAAGTTCTATGTTCCACTAAAAATCCAGGGGAATAATATATATATATATATAAAACCACACGCACACCGAGGGAGTGGCTATCAATCGTCCAGGATAATGACCACCAGATTCAACTCCAAAGGAAGGAAAGTGTCAATCATACAATGTTATGCACCCACAAACAACGCAGACCTCGAAAAGAAAGAAGAATTCTACAGACAACTACAGGCAACAATGGACAATACTCCAGCTGGCGACATGAAAATACTAATGGGAGACATGAACGCCAAACTGGGACCAGACAACACAGGAAGGGAACTCATCATGGGTAGAGAAGCTCTAGGAGAAATGAATGAAAACGGAGAACTCTTCGCCGACTTCTGCGCCTTCAACGAACTGGTGATTGGTGGCAGTGTATACAAGCACAAAGATATCCACAAGGCTACATGGGTGTCACCAGACGGGCAAACCAAAAACCAAATCGACTTCATCTCAATCTCAAGGAAGTGGAGGCGCAGCCTACTGGACACAAAAGCAAGAAGAGGAGCAGACGTTGGCTCAGACCACTATCTCGTACAAGGGACAATCCAAATCAAATTAAAAGCTTTCAGGGAATCAGGAGCTGCAGATAGACCACAAGCCAAGTTCAACACTCAAAAGCTGAAGGACCAGGCTACAAAGGACATCTTCATTGCAAGCATAAAGGACAAAGCTGAGACACAAATCAACACCAGCGAAAAGGTCAGCGTCGAAAAGCACTGGAACAACTTGAAAACGGTGTGGAGCCAAACCTGCATAGAAATTCTAGGCAGAAAAAAGAGACAGGACAAACAGTGGCTCACTACGGACACTTGGAAACTAATAGAAGAGAGAAGGACAGTGAAACAAAAGATTATCCAGTGCGCCGACGAGCAACAAAAACAGGAGCTGAATGCAAGCTACAATACACTGAACAAAAGAGTGAAGAAGAGTGCCAGGGAAGACAAAAGAAAATATTATGAAACCATGGCAAACGAAGCAGAACAAGCTGCAGGCAAAGGAGACCTCGCCACACTCTACCAAACAACTAGGCACCTTTCGGGCAAACGTTCGACACAGATTAAGCCAATAAAGGACGACAATGGAAAGTCAATCACCAAAGAGGTGGAACAGAGAAAGCACTGGGCTGAACACTTCAAAAGACTTCTAAATCGTCCGCCACCTACAACGCGCCCAACAATACCAACAACGGAAGCAGAACTACCAGTGAACACTGACCCCCCGACGAAA